GGCAGGGGAAGAGCTGGGGGGGTCATTGGACACAGAGGTGGTAGTGGGAGAGGAGAGAGGTGGCAGGAGGAGAGCCAGTGGGGGTTAGTGGACACAGAGGCGGCGGTGGCAAAGGAGAGAGGTGGCACAGTGAACGAGCCAGAGGCTCAGTGGACACAGGCGGTGGTGGAAGAGGGGAGAAATTGGTACAGTGGCAGAGCTAGTGGGGGTCAGTTGACACAGAGGTGGTGGGGGGAGAGGTGGGTACAGTGGCAGGGGAAGAGCTGGTGAGGGTCAGTGGACACAGAGGCAATGGGTGGAGAAGAAAGACGTGGGAACAGTGACATGTAGAGAACCGCCCAAGGCTAGCAGCGGTGGCAGGAACGCAGGGGGAGGGGTCAGGTGAGCTATGTACCCCATAGCCGGGATGAGAAGTCAAGTGACCTCTGTACCCCACACTGGATGATAAGTCAAGTGAGGTCTGTACCCTATAGCTAGGATGGAAGGTCAGGTGAGGTCTGTACCCCATAACTGAGCTGAGAAGTCAGGTGAGGTCTGTACCCCATAGCTAGGATTGGAGATCAGGTGAGCTATGTTCCCTACAGCTGGCATGGGAGGTCAGGTGAGCTCTTACCCCATAGCTGGGATTAAAGGTCAGGTTTGCTCTGTACCCCATAGCTGGGATGGGAGGTCAGGTGAGCTCTGTACCCCATAGCTGAGATGAGTAGTCAGGTGAGCTCTGTACCCCATAGCTGGGATTGAAAGTCAGGTCAGTGGCAGATCCAGGGGGGGGAAGGGTGGCAAAAGGGCAATTTTTGCAGGGGGATGTGGGGACATTTTCATAAATACCTAAGAGCAACCCATCAATGAGGAGCAGGTGTGGGCCGTGTGCTACCAGTGTGCCCGGGAACTTGCCCAGAGCTCCCTGGCACCGTGGACCAGGGTACAGGACCCAGCACCAGTCCTCTATAGATTATGGTGTTCTGCATTGCTGTTTAATTTACTGCTGAGATATGTAGTCCTCTATAGATGGTGTTCCGCATTGCTGTATAAGGTATTGCTGGGATTTGTAGTCCACTATAGATGATGGAATTCTGCATTGATGTATAATGTATTTCTCTGATTTGTAGTCCTCTATAGATTATGGTATTCTGTATTGGTATATAATGTATTGCTGGGATTTGTAGTCCTCTATAGATGATGGAATTCTGCATTGGTGTATAATTTATTGCTGGGATTTGTAGTCCTCTATAGATGATGGTATTCTGCATTGGTGAATAATGTATTGCTGGGATATGTAGTTCTCTATAGTTGGTGCCATTCTGCATTGCGGTATAATGCATTGCTGGGATTTGTAGTCCTCTATAGATGATGGTATTTTGCATTGATGTATAATGTATTGCTGGAATTTGTAGTTCTCTATATTTGGTGCCATTCTGCATTGCGGTATAATGCATTGCTGGGATTTGTAGTTCTCTATACAGTGGCAGAACTACCAGGGTCACAGCGGTTGCAACTGTGATGGGGCCCTATCATTTCACCATTTGGGGGGCCCTGGTAACCGCTGACATTGCAGGTTACCGGACCCCCCCTTCCTTCAGTCTGTGGTCCTCCAGCCGTGAGACTGGATGGATCGTGTGTATTACGATTGAACTATGGTTTGGTTTGTGGGGGGCACTATTGAAAGACTTGCCCCCGGGCGCCTCATGACCTTGCTACGCCTCTGCCTGTGCAAGGTCATCTTGTTCTCATGATCTTCTCTCACGGTATTGTCCTTATTCTTCCAGCCTGGGTGCATTGGGGGGCATTCAATCTGGAAGATTGAGAACATCTTGTGGTGGAATACAGTGTGTGAGAAACAGCACAAGAATGAAGGTAAGTATTGCAGCCTTGGCTCCTTTTTGTTTTTTTTAATACTGATTTTTTAATAAAATTTGCATGGAGTTGGGTAATACAAAATGCTATGTAAGCTGTAAGTAGAAAATGTCAGTCCTCCAGTCACACAAACAAACTTTCTGACTAAATCATATAGAGTGCACCATGAGTCCACAGGGATCACTCAGGATTGTCAGGAAATCTAGCTGGCATGATGGCGATATCAGTCAATTAGATGAAGTGTCTGCTATGACAGCCAGTCTCGCTGTTACGTTAGTAAACTGACAGCTCTGAGACATTTATTTCCACCAGAAAAATCTATGCAAGAGCTGCTGCTCAGTCACCTCGCATAATATGATATGATTTCATTATTCCGTTATCATACTTGTAGCTTGTACTTAAATCAGATTTTTTCCAGATGAATACATTTGCACGCAACAGTAAGAAATATTTTGCTACCAGATATCTACAGTATCAGCTATAATAAATATGCATGATAATGTTCCCCCTGCAGCAGTTTATGAAGATTTGGGAAGTCAGGGAAGAGCTCCCATGACCAGGGCCGGATTTACTCTCTCTGCTGCCCCAAGGCCAGGTTCCTCAATGCAAAGCCCCCTTACGTGGAGAATAGCAGACCTGCAGGCTGCATACAAGTGATCTCGGCGACATTTTGCCCAAAGCAAGGCTAAATGTAGAAAACAACTACCTGCCCAGAACTGCATGTTCAGGTCATCAGGAGATAGGAATTCCACACCCCTGCTGCCCCTCTACTCCCTGCTGCCCCAAGGCCGGGCCTTGGTTGGCCTTGTGGGAAATCCAGCCCTGCCCATGACCATGTAAAATTACAAGGTCTTATGAGTAACTTTATAAAAGTCACAAAACTCTTCATTAAAATGTTTGTGTAGCCTATGCTTTTCTTTTTGGATATATTAGTAAGAGATCAGACCCTTGTCAGTTTATTTATTGCTGTCTGTGTCCCGTTGGTGAGCTGTCCCTTTACTTCCTGTCCTGAGGAAGCAACAGGAACTGAGAGGAAATCTTTACAGTGAGTGAAATTCTCCTCTTAAACAGCTGTCACCAGAACAGGTTTCCCCATTGGAAGATTTACCCTTACCTCTTGTTCTGGTAAACTTTTGGATCTGACTCAGTGACAATGCTCACCATGTCATATAAAGAAGGTGAATTTCCCCACGGAGGACACAGACAGCAATAAAAAAAAAACGATCTGAAACAAAACAAAAAAGGTTGTGGCTATAGATACACTTTTAATGTCTATTATCTATTACTGTGGTGATCAGTTATGTAGTATAACAGATCCCTCTATACGCTAATGGGCCATTGAAGCCTTTGACCCCCACTTTATAACTTGTTCCTTAACCTTTGCTATCTCTAGCTTGTGCCCTTCACCTTCCCCCACCTTTAATAAACTTTCTAGTATCACTAATTAGAAATTTCTCTGATCTTTTTTAAAGTGTATGTAAATGTAAAATCATGATTTTATGCAATAGATCCCTCTGTCCCCACATTAGATAAATGCAAGATTTTATTAAAGTATGTTGGAAAACCTGACTAAATACCCGGTGATCCTTCCAGTCCCCTCCACAATCCATGTCCTTGTTCTTTTCTGGCCACACTATCCATAGAAGCAGAACTGTGTCAGAGTGGTCAGGATGCTTCCTTGCTCATTGCCTTGGGAACTACAAAATGTGGCGCCAACACATGGTGTGCCTGTGATTCTGTAGTCAACCTATGACATAACAGGTCCCTGCCTTGCACGGTTTAATCAAGAGGCAAGAAGTGGCATCAATGGTCTTTTTGGATGAAGCAATTGCTCAGTAGTCTCCGACCCCCACCCACTAGAGCTCATTAAGGAAGAGGGGGTGTGACAGCAACTAAAAAGAGCAAGCAAAGATAATTAAATGACACTTTTTAGGAAATGATCAATATGGACTGTTTAAAGAAGGTGTGCTGAATGTTGGTATGCTTTTACAGTATGCTGGGAGATGAGCCCCACATAAAAGTCAATGGGGATGTACTGCACAGGCACGGCCATGAGGAGATGTTTGCCGCAGCATGTAAACAATTAAGGGAGTACAGGCGTGTTGGAACTCGGTAAGCATTCATCTGTGCACAGGGAGAGAGAGATGAGTGACGTCAACCTAAAGGTGCCAAAAGGACAAGTGCACATGCCTTTAGAGTTTACTTAAGAACTGCATTACTATACTTGGAAACTACTTAGCAACCAGCATCTGTTGAGACAATAGACAATTCTGTTGAGATCTCATTTAAAAACCTGTCACCTTACCCTGGTGGTCAGTGGGGGCTTCCTGGTAGTTATTGGGGGCTCCCTGGACGGTAGTGGGGGCTCTGCCGTGGCCGCAGCTTCCAGTTCGCTCGCAGCAGATGCGGCTCTCTAATCGGGCGGCAGGTCTGCTCGCTCCTCCTCCGCTGATCCAGATCGCATACCGAAGCTATCCGGGCTGGATCCGGCAGATGCTGCCCTCTAATCAGGCATCCCTTGAGGAGCGAGCAGCCGCCCGATTAGAAAGCTGCATCTGCTGCGGGCGGGCTGGCCGGGAGCAGCGGTGCAGGTGGCAGAGAGGCGGCGGAGGGAGGGAGCCACTGCGGCCGGGGGCTTAATTTAGCGGGGGGCATCCTGAAGCGATGCCTATGGATCCAAGTAATTTTTCAAACCATGTGCCCCTCCTCAGCAGCAAATACCGACCTTTCCTTCTAGCCATTAAGAGACTGAAATAAGACAGACCGGTGTAAGTTTAGAGTCAGCGCCTACACAAGACTGTGACTCTCTTTTTAACCTTGTGTGATTGGTCCAGCATTACCAAATGAGCGCAAAGAGAACAAGTCAAATTATCCAACATGAGAGTACATTCTTCACTTGCAGTGGCTGAATAGATTTGGGGAGTGAAGGAAAGGTGAGTATATTATTATTACTATTATACAGGATTTATATAGCGCCAACAGTTTGCACAGCTCTTACAATATAAGGAAGACATTACAGTTACAATACAAATCAAGACAAGATGGTAAGGAGGGCCCTGCCTGTGGGAGCTTACAATCTAATAGGGAAGGGAGGGGGAGTGATACATGAGACGGTAGCTGTCTGGTGATTAGCTATTTGGGAAAATTATAGTTCAGGATTTAGGTTGAGGCAGGATCGGCTTCCCTGAAGAGATGAGTCTTCAGGGATTGCCTAATGGCAGGCAGAGTAGGAGATAGCCAGACAAGTTGGCATAGGGAGTTCCAAAGAATGGGAGAGACTCTAGCGAAGTCCTGGAGATGAGCTTGGGAGATGTTGACAAGGGAGATAGAGAGCAGGAGGTCGTGGGAGGAGCGGAGAGGGCGATTAGGGTGATACTTTGAGACAAGGTTTGAGATATAGCCGGGGGCAGAGTTGTGGATGGCTTTGTAAGTGGTTGTTAATATTTAGAATTTTATCCTTTGGGTGAGTGGAAGCCAGTGGAGGGATTGGCAGAGGGGGGTTGCTGACACTGAACGGTTGGTCAGGTGGATGAATCTAGCTGCAGCATTCATGATAGACTGAAGGGAGATAGCCTGTGAAGAGGTAGGCCAATAAGGAGTGAGTTGCAATAGTCGAGACAAGAGTTATCAAGTGAGTGGATGAGTAGTTTTGTGGTTTCTTTGGTGAGGAAGGGGCATATTTTGGAGATGTTATGAAGGTGAAGGCAGCAGTATTTGGATTGTGATTGGATGTGGGGCAGAAAGGTGAGGTCGGAGTCAAGGATCACACCTAGCACTTTGGCATGGGGGAGGGAGGGATAGTGGTGTTATCAATATTAATAGAAAAGTTGGGGGAAGGTGCATGGGTTGGAGGAAATATCATGAGCTCAGTATTTGAAAGATTGAGTTTTAAGAAGTGTTGTGACATCCAGACTGATATGTCAGTTAGTAAATTAGTGACACGCAAGGACACAGAAGTTGTGGAGTGGAGAGATATATTTGAGTGTCATCAGCATAGAGGTGGTATTGAAGCTGCTATATGCTGTATATGCTGCTATGGGACCAGGCATTATGGCATATCTTTTGCTTTTCCCTACATAGGAAAAATGTATCCGCAGACATGTGACAGCTGTGGATCTGTAGAAAATGCCCAGATCTTCTGTCGTCTGCTGCACGCACATCTTCTGACCTTTAAAAGAGCTGTGATATGTTAAATTCCAACTACACAACCCAACGCTTGATTTTAACAAACCTTTCTTAAGGCCTATTGGAAACTGTAAACATGTTTTTTTATAGCTACACAAGCTGGAGTAATGTAAACCATGGGTCTAATGGACCATTTTTGATGACAGCTATGTGAGGTTTTCAGTGTCAACAACTGGAAGCATGCTGTTGCATCATTACAGTTTTTATTTTGCACCAGTTTTTATACCTTGGCACCCTTGTTGTTGCTAAACCTCCCTATAATAATATATCTTTTTAATACAGGTTGACGAAATGAGGGCTTCTTTGATATGCAGCTCAGTAATACTACTCATCTTTTCTCTGTGTGGAATTCAGTCATCATTGGGTATAGACGTTCTGGAGAACACTGCTCCAAATTCTGATCTGTTAAAAAGGGAACGGCGAGATGAAGAGCCACAGTATCCAGGTAAATTTGTGAAGCATCACTGTGTGTGACTGAGCTTTCGAATGATATCTATACATTTGCAAGGATCCCAACCTGAAATAAGTCATTTCAGGGAGGTGCCCTTCTCATTTCTGGGAGGAGCCCTCTGCCCCCTCCCCTCACCCATGTGTGGGGGGGTTGGAGGTGGTGCAACAAGGAAGAGAGCACCCCCCTGAAATGATGGCAGATAGCAAAGAAGCTAATGCTTCCCTTGGCTTGGCTATTTCCATTTGCAATAGCTAATAGCAAGCTGGCTATTGCACCCAACCTCTGCTGCTGTAACTCAGTAAAGGAGGACCTGATGGAGAACTTCAGGTCCACCTCTGCTGATTGACAGCAGCAGTGGGTGGGTGCAATAGCTAGTCTGCTATTGGCTTCTTCAATTTGCAATAGCCAACAGGAATCTAGCTATTCGTTCCTATGCCGTTTTGTTTTTCTTACTGACGGCGGCTGGTGGCCGATGTCAAGAAGAAAAAAAAAAGAAGAGCAGAGAAAGGTTTACTCTGCTAGATAAAGCAGAGTAAATCTTTCAGGGAGAAAATGTTTCTCTCCCGGTTGTCCAAGAGCCGCTATATAATAGCGGGAGACTCCGGGAATATCAGGGAGAGTTGAGATGTCTGCATTTGCCTGGAGTGCAGTGGTAGAACTATATTGGTCACAGCGGGTGCTGTCACACCATGACCAAAAGCTAGGTACATCAACTGTAGGCCTGGACGCTCCATACAGGCCCGGCGCTACCGCAAGGCAAGTCAGGCGGCCGCCTGAGGGCGCTGCAGGGTGAGGGCGGATAAATTCTTTATAGCAATTATTGATGTATCTAATAATTACAAATGTTGGGCTGCCACCTACTGGCGGACTGATCATGTATTCTGGCTGAGTGTGCAGAAATGACAGTAGGCTGACCTAAGCAGAAGGGTCAAAGAGACTACCTTGCGCTGAGTGCAGGGGTAGAAGTACAAGGGCATCTCTTCAGGTGGGAGGCAGGCAGGCAGCTGAAAGAACAGAAAAAACAGGAGCCATCTTCACTGTTTCAGCAGCAGCAGTGATGTAGGACTAGTCAGTGGGACAACACTCAGCCACCACAGACACCCTCTCCTCATATCCTCTTGACAACCTTCCTCCGCTAAGCTTTTTGCCAGCTACAGGATAGGACAGGATCCAGCTCAGCTGCCTATGGAGTCACATTTCTGCCCCCTGCAGCACTGTGCTGTCCAATAGCAGATGAGTTGAAGCAGACAACCAGTAGAGGGGAAAGGATTTGTGTATAATACATACACAGAGAAGAGCGTCCAGGGCAGGACTTAGCCTCACACTATCAACCGGGTACACAATCCAGGACACAGACATTGCAGGACAATTGGTGAAAAAGTGGGACTGTCCAGGCAAATCTGGGACAGTTGGTAAGTATGCAATGGGCCTTTTCTCCCACCAACACCAATGAAAGGGAGCCCTTCGCCCACTGACAGAAATGAGAGGGAGTATTCACACGGACACTAATATAAAGTGATAACTTTTCTGACCAAACAAAAAAAGGGCACCTCACGCTGTTAACACCAGTCTATCACGTTAACCTACACTATCCACTAATGTAAGGGGGCCCATCTCCTACTGACAGAAATGGGAGGGAGTAATTCTTGCAGTGACACCAATGTAAGGTGGAACATCTGGCTCCGAACACCAATATACTGGGGAATTTCACACTAACCAATAATGTTAAGGGGGAATTTCATTTCATTTTAAGGGGGTTTAAAACATCCATTAATTCTTAAACTTCAATGCATTCATACCCAAGTATTCCACATTCTGATAAAGCTGGCCATAGATACCACACAATGGTCAGTCGGTCTTTGCCCGATAAAGATATGTGCTAATGTCTTACAAGTATGTTTACTTACGTGGCCAGCAAATACTACTCATCTTATTTGAACAACAGGCCATCAGACAAAGCATTTTAAAACAAATCATGTGTTCTGCTGATGCACAGCTATCACAAGGACATATGTAGCACCCATGGACATACCTATACAGCCTGGTCTGTGTGCAAAGACTTTACAATTGCACTTTTTGAATGATGGGGTGAGTTGCTCACGACCTTCCTCTACTCCTAAACGCCTCTATTACCTGTGAAATATATGGTTGTTAGCCCATTCACTTGTAGTCACCCTGCCCTAAGCAGGAGTGTCTGTTTAGATTTAGAAGCTGTCAGGCTGTAGTCAGTCTGATTGACTGATATTTCAACTTTCTTGTGCCTCTCCTAAATTCTGGTGATTTTTTGCTGCTCCCTACTGCTAGAGAATACACCTGGCAATTGTGTGGGAGGCTGCACTAATTAGATTTATGGATGTTTGTACCTCCCTGACCAACCACTAAGAGGTTTAGTGCCAGTGGTGCATATTGGGAGAGGGTATAAACATTTAGGGAGTGACCATGGAAAGTTAGTCTTCCTGCCTGGGGGAGGGATGCTATGGATTTTTTGATTCTCCTAGGCCTGCTGCCTGAGGAGGATGACCATGCACTTGATCTGAGGTATGGTTTCGAGGCCTAGTGTGTGAAGCTTGGGGATGGAGATGCCATGGAGGAACTTCAGCCTGAATAAGGAGCCTGAGAAGCTGGGTGGAAGCTTGGTCCTTGACCCAAGCATTGTATTTTTTCCCCCAAGGAGTCGGTAGCTGCAATATCCAGTACCTTAAAGCCAAAAGCTCTATTCACAAAATTCCAGGTCGGCTTAAAGGTTCTTTATCTGTGAAGGTTGTAAGTACTTTTTGTCTCCCTTTTATGGAGTCTGTGTGACTATGGGTGTCTTGTGCCCTAACCCTCTCTCCCAAAGTTAGTAAATAAATGTACTACAAGCAAAAGATCAACAGCGTGGAAGTTGGTAATCGGATGCCACTGGTGGGTCAGTGAGTGCTTTGGGGCATAAATATAACTGTGTACCCTAGACAGGCTAGGAGGGCCCAGTTCATTCAGCAGATCCTTAGGGGGATGAACACTAGACGGTTTTAACTATTTCCATTTCCATTGCTAGCAATTAAAACAATCTTATTGAAGTATGTTGTTTACCTTATGAACACAATGAAAGGTCTACAAATGTCCATGTGTTTATTTGCTCTTTAAGCTTTTCTAAGACAAATCATCCTATTTTTTGTGTTACTTGTGTTTTAGATGATAGCTATGATTCTGGTGAGCAAGATCGCTGGCCAACAATGGAGGAATTGGCGAAGTACTCAAACAATAGATTATCCACCAAAAGAGGAGGAGTTTTGAACGGCCCGGCTGGTCTGTATGATCTTATGTCATCAAAACGCAGACCCGATAGGAGGACCATTGACAGTCTTAAAGATGCGTATGTGGCCAAACTTCTGAAAAGACATCGCATGCCCCGGAGTTCAGAGGTGACCACAATGGAGCCAGACAAAGATCAACCAATCTTTGAACGACTGATCGTGAATGAAAGTAATGATGACCTATCTGAGTGATCCAGTTTTTCCTTATATTTGTATTAAATCTGAGAGACCCTTACTGCATGTATGGGAGACATTTTAAAGAAAACCTGCACTAAGAGAAATACAAAAGCTTTCATTGCTGACCTCCTAAACATATCAGTTGCCCCAATGTCTTTGGCCTCAATATTTTCTAAGTCAGTGAATCAGAATACACATGCAGTCAGTGACCTTATTCTAGGTCAGTGACTCAGGAAGTATTGTATGGCTCTGGATCAGCATAACAGCCAGGCAGCTAGCACTCCAATAAGAGAGTTTAGCAATGGCGGCCTACCTACTTCTCAGTAAAGGTTTCTTTAAAAGGTATGTTATTGATTCCCAGTGTATCTGTTTGCTAGTGTGGTTAATTTTAAGCTTTTCATGTCAACAGTATTACAGACTATTAAAAAACTATGAGAAGCAGCTAAATAGCCCCAGCTGGGTATTACATAAGATGTTTCTGCATGTTCTTTTGGTATTGCAAGTACCATTTAGTGATTATCCCTAAATACCTCATATTCTATTTGTCATTCTGGGAAACATTCTGATACTCAACAACTACTCCAGTTCTTATTCTGGCCATAGACTGCTGAATAGACCAAAATAAAAACCGTGGATGGCCCTGCAAACGCCACCTGGCTTGACAAAATGTGATTAAACAATTACCTGAGCTGGGTAGAAAATTATCAGCCAAACAGTAACTGCATCCTATCAGATGCAGTCACTGTTTAGAAGTTCCACTGTATTCATGCAGTAGCAGGTTCTGCAGCTAATGAATACCATAGCAAGCGGTGGTGATTCCTCCATCCATGCTTTTCAATCAAGCAGTGCGTTGCTGGTTTTAAAATGGGAAATCCCAGCCTACGCCCACCAGACTGTAAACAAAATGATCAAATAGCCAGAGATGGATTAAGGCAGAATAAGGCTATGCCAGGTAGCATCTTTAGACTGCACTGTACCTTTAAATGACATTAATAATTATTGCAATAGCACAGAGACGCCATCCCATTTGTATTGTCTGCACTGGTATGGTCCCAGACCACCAGCTGCCTACAAGTACATTCTGACTTGTGAAGTAGGTACAAAGCTTTGACCATTAGCGCTATCCACCTGGTGTACAGCTTGTAGCTGGGTCCTCTAGACATACATTAGGCCCTATACTACTGCTTAAGTTGCCTTCTGGATGATCCAGCTCTGCCCTCTAGTTTAAAGCTGGCATACACCTTACAATTATCTGTGGTCAGATGAAAAGGTGGAACAGATTCCTCCATCTACACTTAACTGTGTGGATGGAGTAATCTCCACCTGGACTAATCTGTTGCACTTTTTCCATCTGACCACAGAAAATCTGCAGATAATTGTAAAGTGTATGGCCAGCTTAAAGGTGCGCATACACATTACGATCTTCGGACGAAAATTTTCGAATGATCGAATAGTCATACGATTTTCGTACGACAGCCCCATCATGCCCCAATGATCACACGATTAATTTAGCCGTAATTAAGGAAAAGCACCTGGATGAATAGCGGTAATTGATTTGCTGTATTTTCGTTAGCGCAAGCGCAGTGTAGATCGTACAACGTTTGACGGACGGAAACGCCAGCAACCTTGCGAAAATCGTAAGATCGACCAAAGTTTTCAAACATGCTTGACCGTCAAAAGTCATACGATTGTACAGTACTGTCGGTCGGACACTGCAATGCACACATACGTTTATCGGACGAAAAGTCGATCGCATACGAAAATCGTACAAAAAATACGAAAATCGTAACGTGTATGGGCACCTTCAAGGTGCCCATACACCTTACGATTATCGGACTAAACTTTTCGTCCGATGATCGAACCGTCGTACGATTTTTGTACGACGGCCCCATCATGCCCCGATTATCGCAAGGTTCAATCAGCGGTAGTAAAAAAAAACACTTGACTTGCGGTAATTGACCACAATTATTTTAGTTTGCGCATGCGCAGTGTTAATCGTACGACTTTTGACGGACGGAAACGCCACCAACCATGGGAACATCGTATGATCGACCAAAGTTTTCAAACATGCTTGACCGTCAAAAGTTGTACGATTGTACAGTACTATCGGTCGGGCACTCTATTCACACGTTACGATTGTCGTACGAAAAGTCGATCGCATACGATTATCGTACGACAATCGTAAGGTGTAGGAGCTCCTTTAGACTGGGTGCAATGCATCCCTAAGGGGGACGGGGGAGAGCTGTAGAGTTCAACTACACTGTGTCCCACTCTTCTCTAATAGAGGCTATATATAATATTATAATAACTATATTATAAACATCCTTACTAAGAACAAACAGTGTAAACTGTTAAGTGCTCGGGGCATATTCTATAAACTACAGCTGAATTAACAATATTATCTGGCATCAGAACTGTGCAAAGACATGAGAAGTTTTCTTTCCAGGTAAATGTTAATCCCAACAATAGGCAGCTAGCCAATATGACACCCACAATTAGATTATCACCAACAGCTGGCTCAGGCTACTTTGTGTATGCATCAAAACCTTTATTTTTAATAACCATGCTTACAAGAACCATTTAAATCTGAACTCCTGGCAGTTATTAGGAAAACACCAATGTATGTAGTACCATATTCCTACATCATTTAAGGCCGTAAACCTAAAATGCTGTTTTTACAAATCTACGGTAGGTTAGGAATTTCCTGACCAAATCAAATTATACAGCAGAGTATAAAATACATTCTTCCAAATATCTATATTGCACTCTTTAGTCCCAGGTCACATGACCACACTGCTCTTTCTGAATGGCCTGGACGTCTGCCTTGGACAAGGAGGGGTACCTGGCTGAAGAGCACTTTTCCATGATGATTGAATACTATGTTTGCCATTCTTTGCTAAAATACTAGTTTTTCACATTTACCACTCCCAGTGGATACTACACACTGGAGAACTAGTATACAACGACTTCCCAACTCCTGGGTGGCCATTCATGCTGCCGGTCCATTCATAAATAAATTGGAAAAAAGTCCACTAAGTAATCTTAAAGCCCAAATGTCAAAGCCACACTTCCTTGCTTCTGTGCTCTGTCATCTGTACAGGCTATTAGAATTTTGTAATGAAGGGGGCTAAACTTATATTACCTTTATGCCATGGAGATGGAGTCATACATTTATTGGTCACTTGATTCAAATAAAATCAAATATTAATAAAATAATACATAAAGTGCTATGTATTACATGTATGCCCTTATTAAAAAAAAAAATCACAGTAGGAAAATTATTTTCACAACTACATATTGATTATCATAATTAACATTTCACATTTTTCATTACACATTCTCCTGCTTTCAAACATGGAGAAATCAAAACATCCAAAGACTGTTAAGTATGGTCTCACTCTCTTCCCATACTCATTGTTTAGCCTGTAGCAGTTAGTTTTATTAACAGTTTTGGAAATACAATGTAATATTTAAAGCCCAACTTCAGGTCAAAGATTCTTACAGCCACAGACATGACTCCCGGAGAGAGATGCTTCATGGGATTTGTAGTTTCACCAAAGCTGGAGGGCCGGAGTTTGGACATCCCTGACCTAGAGCTTATATAGGACTAAGGCTAACCATACATGGCTAGATTTTCTCTCATCAGCCTCTGGTCTGAGATAAAGTAAATCAATAAATTCCCCCATCCATGCTAAACAGTGTGGATGGAGGAATCTCCACAGCAGCCCACAGCTTGAATTTCAGTCAGTTGGATCAGCTTACATTTGAGCCATGTATGGTTAGCTTAAAGTGACATTAAACCCTCAGATTTTTTTAACATAAACCAATACTGTAATGTGTGCCTTACTGTAATCCATGGTTGTTTCCCTTCTCTTTGCTGCTCTTCCTTTTAAATCCTCATGTCTTCTCATGCTGGGGGAGAACTTCCCTTTTCAGCTCAGGGCCTCTTCCTGTAGTGCTGGCTCAGGTTACAAGCCTATAGAAACATATACACAGACACCGTGTATCCATTCCTGAGACAAGGCAGTCTGCTGCAAAACAGAAGTTCTGCAGAGCATGAGAACAGATACAGATTTAAAAGGAAGAGCAGCAAAGAGAAGGGACACTACCATGGATTACAGTAAGGCGCACATTACAGTATTGTTTTATGTTAAAAAATCTGAGGGTTTAATGTCACTTTAAGGATCGTCCCATCTGCCCAAACATGACAATACTCAGGTTTAGAACCTAGATACAATGGAAGAGATACACATGCCCCCCATACCTGGAAATACTACAAGCCCATTCACAAAAGGGTGAAGAGTTTGGAGTAGGCAGGAGAACTGAACATTCTAGAAGAACATAGCTAATTTAGAAAAATTCTCCAATTCAGCTCACTTTCCAGTTCAACAACTGCATGCTGTCCTAGATTGTTCACTTCTCCTGTCTTCTCCAAAATCTTCAACCTTTAGTGAATAGACCTGTAGGTATCCCACTGAGTTTTGGTGGGAAAACGGGGCTTCAGAGGGAACAGAAGGTGAATATAAGCATCAGGGGAAAGAAGGTTGGGCAGTTAATTAAACCTGTTGCTTTTCCTTAAATGTGCAAAGTTGGCCATAGACAAGAGATGACAGATACCCAATCTAGCCACGTCCAATTCATGTTGTAACAAGGACACTCCACTGAAGACCGGAGGTGCAAGTACAATGCAGTTTATTTGCTTTCAAAACGATAGATAACACGAAATCCAACATAAATAGCTTGCTGTAGCATAACAGATAGGGGCTCACCAATCCTCGAGTTGTCACGTAAACTCAAGGTGTCCCAGTCTTTTAACAAGTCTCTCTCGCAGCACTGCTGCTCCAGCCTCAATCTTTAGGGCCACTGTCTGGTCCCTCCAGACAACAGCAATAACATGCCAATCCTCTCAATATGGTTCACAAACCCACAGCTCCCTGCTGCCCTGGCCTCCACACTGACTCCGGGGTGGAGCTCTCCTGACTCACAGGTGGGGCCCTGAACACATCCCAGCACACACTTCATGAGGGATGTACACAGGTGCACAATCAGGTGCTGGTCACCACCAAAGCATGGACCCAGGAATGGAGACTTCTTCCCACCCAGAGCTCTAAGAAATCTCCTGGCTCCAGGATCCCAACCTTGATCCAGAAAACCCAGAAAGAACTGAAAAGGCAGTTCTCTCCTGGTACCAGTAATGTCTTCCTGGAGCCACTCAGCCCCTCTGGCTGAAAACCCTGGGTGACTTTGAGGCCACCTAACACCGTGGTATTGCCTCACAATGCCACAATGTCTATAATGATTAACTGCAACTAATCGACCGTTACTGGAGAAAAGACCTCAAAACTTGACGACAACAGTAAATGGACCACGTGAAAACCTTATCCATTTACTGTTGTTTGCCTGCTCCTTCCTCCTCTTGGAGATTGTCACTCACACCACTGTCCCTGGGGAAGGAAGTGTGTAGAAATCTCCTCAACGAGGCCACAGACATCATAAAAACTTGCCAGACGATCTTACCCTAGTGAAAATGGTAAATATACTTGACCACTGGAATATCTGAGCTTGGCCAGGCCCCATCTGAAGAACTTTTGCACTGCCCACTGCCAAGATGACGTCAGTTATAACACCTTCTGTGTTGACATTTTGGAGGGGTGGTAGTTAATGATATTATATGAAGCTACTTTTCTAAAAGCTCTTAAACGCTTTGTGTATGGGTTGGATATGTTAGATGTGAGATGTACTGTAGATGAACAACAAATATGTGCAATTTGTGTATAAGAATATTTACTGGTCAATAAAGTGTTATTTGTGCATGTAGACTCATTCACACCCACAATATGTCAATCCATGGTGATAATTTTCAGATTGTTGTCACCGATAGCTTATTACTTTGCAAGCAATGTGCTACACATCTACCGGAGTATTCATTATGATTCACTATCACTTGATGTGCTATTGATTATAGCTGTCCTGCCTGACTGATTGAGTTGCCTCTCTATTAATATCAAATATGGTGTGTGCGGTTCAGTATTTGTCAGCTAAATCATTAATGGATTATAGCCAAGGTCTTCGTTGTAAGCATATAAATGTTTAACAACTGCTGTGCCAACTATTCCAGTCACTCCCATATCACACATAGTGACAACTCTGGCACATGCTGAATGAAACATAATACTACGGGATGAAGAAACCGGCATCCCATTTGGCACTACTGAATGCCTGGAGCTTGAATGGGTATGAGACACATGCAAGTGCCAACATGGCATGATATCATCACATCTTCATTCTAGACTTAATAAAGAACTTGTAATATAGTAGTCAATGTTCTTGTAGTACAGTACATTCACTGCACTGACTAGGGCTTCACATTAAACAGAAAGGTATTCGATTGTACATAGGTCCTAAGTGTTCCTATTCTGAAAGGTCATTGACATTTTTGAGTATTGAGCAAAGTGGATGCACTGGGGCAAAGTTAGGGCAGCTGCAAAGGGGTCATTATTAACGTCCTTTTCTATATTTTGTCATTCATAAAACAGTCACAGTTCTAAGAGTGTATATATTTCACCGTTGTGGGCTACTGAAATGGTGCAAAGAGCAATGATGCTATACAAAGTGCAGAATCCCATAGGAACCAGATCTCTACTTTCCTTAGTTTAGAGCAGGGGTCTCCGAAGGTTTCAGTACACGGGACACATTGTATATTCTACAAATATTCATGAGCTAAATACGGTTTATGTAATGAATAAGCCCCCCCCCCTTTACATCCAGATGTGCCCAGCAGAGTCCCTCCTTCCTTCCAGGAATGACCATCAGAGTACCCTGTTACATCCAGGAGTGCCCAGCAGAGTCCCCTGTTACATCCAGGAGTGCCCAGCAGAGTCCCCTGTTACATCCAGGAGTGCCCGGCAGAGTCCCCTGTTACATCCAGGAGTGCCCAGCAGAGTCCCCTGTTACATCCAGGAGTGCCCGGCAGAGTCCCCTGTTACATCCAGGAGTGCCCGGCAGAGTCCCCTGTTACATCCAGGAGTGCCCAGCAGAGTCCCCTGTTACATCCAGGAGTGCCCGGCAGAGTCCCCTGTTACATCCAGGAGTGCCCAGCAGAGTCCCCTGTTACATCCAGGAGTGCCCAGCAGAGTCCCCTGTTACATCCAGGAGTGCCCATATACAAAGTGCAGAATCCCATAGGAACCAGATCTCTACTTTCCTTAGTTTAGAGCAGGGGTCTCCGAAGGTTTCAGTACACGGGACACATTGTATATTCTACAAATATTCATGAGCTAAATACGGTTTATGTAATGAATAAGCCCCCCCCCCTTTACATCCAGATGTGCCCAGCAGAGTCCCTCCTTCCTTCCAGGAATGACCATCAGAGTACCCTGTTACATCCAGGAGTGCCCAGCAGAGTCCCCTGTTACATCCAGGAGTGCCCAGCAGAGTCCCCTGTTACATCCAGGAGTGCCCGGCAGAGTCCCCTGTTACATCCAGGAGTGCCCGGCAGAGTCCCCTGTTACATCCAGGAGTGCCCAGCAGAGTCCCCTGTTACATCCAGAGTGCCCATCTGAGTCCCCTGTTACATCCAGGAGTGCCCATCTGAGTCCCCTGTTACATCCAGGAGTGCCTGGCAGAGTCCCCTGTTACATCCAGGAGTGCCCGGCAGAGTCCCCTGTTACATCCAGGAGTGCCCAGCAGAGTCCCCTGTTACATCCAGGAGTGCCCGGCAGAGTCCCCTGTTACATCCAGGAGTGCCCAGCAGAGTCCCCCGTTACATCCAGGAGTGCCCATCTGAGTCCCCTGTTACATCCAGGAGTGGCCGGCAGAGTCCCCTGTTACATCCAGGAGTGCCCATCTGAGTCCCCTGTTACATCCAGGAGTGCCCGGCAGAGTCCCCTGTTACATCCAGAGTGCCCGGCAGAGTCCCCTGTTACATCCAGGAGTGCCCGGCAGAGTCCCCCGTTACATCTAGAGTGCCCGGCAGAGTCCCCCGTTACATCCAGGAGTGGCCTGTAGAGTCCCCCTTTACCTCCATGTGTGCCCAGCATCCAGGGACCAGAGACCCCCTTACCTTTGCAGGAGGCAGATCAGCAGGACAGAACCTGGAAGACAGAGCTGATCTGAACAGAGGAAATGCGGTCATTGTGTAAATGCTGGGGGTGGGGCAATCACATCTTTGGTTGCTAGGATGCCAGTGGACCTAGCAACCAACTACAGTGGGGTAGTGAGGGAATCTGTGCTGGGGACTGGCAGAGGGTCACAGCTGGCAGGATGCCCCAATCTCCATATTACCATACACAGACCAATGTATACTCTGGCAGCTAGCCAGGATTGCTATGGGCAGGTAAAATCTTGTACGAGGCCCGGGGCTTCCCCCGCACTGCAAGGGTTAACTGCTCGTTTTAGTCTAGGGGTGAAAATAAAGAAGATATACTCACCTGATCCTTGGTCCTATGGCAGTGATCGCTCACTTCTCTCCCCCTTTGCTCTGGCTGTGATATGTCCCTTGTCTCATCTTCACGTTTAATAGACCCGTATTAGACGTGATGACGTCATGGGTCCTTAGATCTCCGGAGCCTGCAGAGACTGGTCTAGCAGCCAGGCGGGACAGAGGATGGAGTGAATATGTCTTCTTTATTTTCACCCCTAGACAAAATGAGCAGTCAACCCTTGCAGTGCAGCGGTAGCCCAACTGGAAGGGTTCATTTGAAAAATCGTGGAGCTCCTCTTTAAGGCCCCATTTACACTGAGCGGATTGTTGCGCGATATCGCGAGAAGTCGCCGGCCAATTATTTTCAATGGAGCTGTCATAAAGGAGAACTATGGGGTTAAGGCTTTTCCCCATAGTTCTCCTTAGGGTAACGGGAGGACACAAACTAGCGTCCTCCCGTCACCCTAGGCTCAGTATACAGCGAGGTGTAGCTCGTGGTATACTGAGACGCCGCAGTATACCACGAGCTGCTGTTCGCGGTTTACTGAGACGCCGCAGCTGAAGCGGATCCCGACAATTATGTCTGGATCCGCCCAGCTGCGTGACTGACAGCTGGCTCTGCCTATCTAGAGGCAGAGCCAGCTGTACCCGCCCCCTCCCCGTCCGTTCCGCCAGTCAGCGCTGGCGGATCGGAGCGGGGAGGGGGGAATCCATCCCCTCCCCTGTCACAGCAGAGAGCCGTGACAGGATCGAGAGGTGAGCGAACGCCGATATGTGTTCGCTCACCTCCCGATCTACTTAGCCGACCTGTGACAGTCTCATTGTCACAGGTCGGCTAGAACTATGAGACCTCATAGTTCTCCTTTAATGTACAGCTCCATGTCGCCTGTCGCGGTCACAAGTTGCGCCTGCAGGACCCTTTTTTCGGCAGATGTCGCACAATTTTTTTATTTATTAATGCAGCCCGACGGTGAAGGTCACGCTACCGTCGCTGGAATGTCCCCCCGAAATTCGCGCTATCCCGGCCGCGCGGATCCGCTCCTAAAGGTATGTCGCTCAGTGTGAATGGGGCATAAGAATGATGTACAGCTGATCTGTGTCAAACATTTGTGAACACTGGGCACTGAGATTTACTGTCAGGAGATTGTGCACACACATAATGCAACAAAGGAGCACTGTCTGAATTTCTGCCAATAGCTCTGATGGTTTCCATACAGTGTAAACAAAAGATGTGAACAGGCTCAGAGCTGCATGCTGGGGGATATGGCAAGCTGCATGTTGCCATGCACGATGATGGGGTGACAGGAGCCTCTCCCATCAATGAAGAGCTCTCCCCTCCTCTCCTCGGTGTGATCTCATTTCCTCCAGTAAGGACAGAGGGCGGCTCTCTATAAGAACGGCCCAGTGGAGTGGACTAATCTTCAAGCAGTACTCAGGTTGCGGAGGGAGAGCATCAGCATGGACACCTACCAGAAACCCGAGGACAAGGATCTGCAAGCCCTGAAGGATCTGGCCAACCGGCTCAGGATCCACTCCATCAGAGCGACATGTGCCTCCAACTCAGGGTAGGATCTTATAGGGTCCCAGTCATTCATCAGCAATCGGTTGCCTCCTGTGCCACTTACCACGTGGGTATCGTCCCCCCTGGAATGAGGATTCATGGCAGCATCTCCCCTGATCAGTGTGCTGCACCATGTGGGGTGACTCCCCC